GAAGGTGTCCCTGCCCATGGCAGGGGGGTTGGAACTGGATGGTCTTTAAGGTCCTTTCCAACACAAACCATTCTGTGATTCTAATGCATTTTCAGGTGGTGCTGGTCAGTTTGAGCAGTCTGTGTTTCAGAGAGAAAATCATACTGTAAATGAAAAAGGAGTTTTATGTTCTTTGTCCATGTTAGAGTTAACTGATACGAAGCTGAGGCCATGGGTTAATATGATACCAAGGTGTTTTTTTTTTAAAGCAAGTGATGGCTGCTTGCTTCTTAAAGGCCTCTGATTGCCCAGCATGCTTGATCGAAACCCAAACCAACTTGCTTTGAATGACAAATTGATTGTAGTGTGCATTTTTGATAATACAGCAATTTGTCTCCTTGGGTATAATACTCTAATCCCCCCTTCATTTGTCAGTAGGGAATCAGCAATTCAGCTCTTCCTCAGGCCGAGGAATGGCACGGTGGCTGCGGCACTTCATTGCGCAGCTGCAGACCCCGTGGTGAAGACACCCCCTCCCAGCAGCATCTACACACTGGTTCCTCAGCACGCATTTCACAGCGCTCTTTGGCACTATGCTGGGCTCCTGTGGTGGGGTATTGGTAGACAGGGAAGGGCTAAAGGGGTGGCTCCTATGAGAAGCTTCTAGAAATTTTCCCATCTCCAAGTCGGATCTGGCTCTGGCCATAGCCAAGCCAATCAGTGACAGTGGTAGAGCCTCTGTGATTGACATACTTAAGCGGTAAAAAAAATGTTGGGGAACCTGCAGCAGAGAGAGGAGTGGGATATGAGAGAGAGAACCAGGCAGACACCAGAAGTCAGTGAAGAAACATGGGGGGGGGAGGATCTGGGCCGGAGCACAGGTTCCCCTGTAGCCTGTCGTGAGAGGGCAGGCTGTGCCCTGCCCCCAGGGAGGGTCATGGTGGAGCAGAGGCCCATCTGTAGCCCTGGGAGGACCCCCTGATGGAGCAGGCAGCTGCACCCAGAGCCCATGACCCCATGGGAAGCCTGCACTGGAGCAGTTCACTCCTGGAGGGCTGCACACCATGGGGGAGGACCCAGTCTGGAGCAGCTTGTGAAGAACTGCAGCCCATGGGAAGGACTCATGTTGGAGAAGGTGGTGGAGGACTGTCTCCCGTGGGAGGGACCCCACGCTGGAGCAGGGGCAGAGTGTGACTATCCTCCCCTGAGGAGGAAGGAGTGGCAGAGACAATGTGTGAGGGACTGACCACAACGCCCATTCCCCATACCCTGCACTGCTGGGTGGGAGAAGGTAGAGAAATGGGGAGCAAAGCTGAGCCCAGCAAGAAAGGAAGGGTCAGGGGAACATGTTTGAAGACTTACTTCTATTTTCTCACTATCCTACTCTGATTTGATTGGTAACAAATTAAATTATTTTTCTTCCCCAAGTTGAGTCTGTTTTGCCCATGACCATCATGTGTGAGTGATCCCTCCATGTCCTCGTCTCAACCTATGAGCCTTTCCTGATATTTTCTCCTCCCCATCTCACGGGGGTATGGCTGCATGGTGCTTAGTTGCCAGCTGGGCCTAAACCACAACAGACACCTTACCCTATTGCTTGTTTTATAAATGTAGTTTAAGTCAACAGCAGGCATCAGAATTTTGTCTGTTCCTGAGATTTTAAATTTCTTGCTTGTACACAGAGTCTCCCATTCCTCCTTACCAGTGTGCTCTGATTCTGTTCTCATCATCTGTTTTGGTTGACCAGGGGGTGTTGGTTCGGTCTTCACCCAGCACAGTGCTCCAGAGCTTCAGTCATCCCTCAGAGAAAGTGGTCAACACACAGTGACAGATCTATGGTCCACCTGGTCTTAGCATTTGCGGTATGAAAAGCTGCAATTCCCAGGAAGCAGTGCATGTTTGTCAAGTTCAGGGTAGCCCATGTGGTGACCGTTTCATAACAAGTTGCGGAACCTCTGTTTCTCTATCTCGTCTCATGTTTGTGCCATATTTCCTCCATACTGATGGGTTTGTGTCACCATGTATCCCAACCAAGATACGTTCTGTCCTGTGAAAAGCAGAAGTCTTTCACCAGCAGAAATGGAGGGTGAAAGGAGATGTAAGCCACGGCATCCTTCCCCCATTTGTGGTGATTGACCACAGATCTTTATCCGTATTGCATACCTGGATGTTGCTGTCAGTCAAGATGTTTCTGTAGAAAGCCCATGTGTAAGACAAAGTGGAAAAGCTTACAGTCTGAGCTGGATATATGCTCTGATAACCTGTGAACACCATCACGTGCCCTTGTAGCCACAAGCTCATGGACAATAATTCCCTCTTGGCATGCAGCAGGGCAGGGCTTTTCCACTGCTCAAAGCTTACTGGGAAAGCCACAGCACATCTGTTTGGTGGCTTGAGCCATTGAGCATTTTTTGCATTGCCTGCCTGGATAAACTGTCACTCTTGATTTTTAAAACATTTCACAACAGAGAGTTAGCCGAGGATGGAGAATCTCTTCTGAGCATCATCTGCAGAGGCTCCTCTGCTTACAAACACATGCGGTGGAAGGTTGCCACCGTCATGTCTTGTCTCAACAGGGGATCACATCCTCTCTGCTGCAGCAAAGCACACTGGTGTATCTACTCTTCAGCAGTCATCTGCTGTCCCCTGTTTGGCATTTGTTATGTTTCTAGATTAAAGCTTTTATCCATTCTCCCATGTTGTCAGTGAGGTTTTAAAAGTGCTCCTTAGAACATCTCTTTTCCTCAGACTCTCTCTAGAAAGCTGGTTTTGCTTATCCTTTTGAGAAGAATTTGGCCTCCTGTTCTGTTTCTCTGAATGTTAGACTGTTGGCTGGGGATAGAAGAGGGAGTGTGTACACAAAGGCTCTTGTTAGCCTGGGGGTGCTAATTTCCTTAAGCCCCACTGATAGTCAACCAGGGAATGATCCAGAGCACTTAAATATAGTTTGCTTCTCTGAGTCTCCCTCGAGAAGTGTCTGTCTCCATTGCCATTACAGATGACTGCGTTGATAAATATTTGTCTTTATGAATACTTCCTTGTTTGTTTGATCTTTAACAGGGTGCATTATTCCGTTTCTTTTGCTTTATGCTCTATGTTTTCTGTGCTGAGCAGAATCCACCAGATTGGGGGAGTGGGCTGCTTTGTTAATATTATTACATTTTGACTCATAGCTGGTTGCATTTTTAACCTATGACTCAGAAATTTCTATCACAAACTTCAATTAATATGGATCTCAACAGTGTAGAGTTTAAAAGTTACGGGCAAGCGTATGGTTTGGTTTCACTACATAGTGCTCTGCTGAATTCAGTCTCAACATTCTCTGTTAGAACAGCCAGGGATATGGCTAGATGACATTTCCTACAAATATTGCCTACAGCCCTGCTGCCACCTTATTAAACTGGTCAGATTTGCAATACAAACAGCAAGTGCTTGAAGAGCTTTGAGCATTTTATAAAAGTTAAAATTAGCAAAACAAAACAAAAGCATACCATTCATCTCTCAATTACTGTCCCAATTGAATATGCTGTTTGGTGGATGATATTTGTGAATGTTATCATTCCCAGAATGTACTTGTTAAAAAGCCATTTCTCTATTTCTGTTGCAGTGAACTATTTCATAAAAAATGGTACAGAAGATGTGTTGCTGTGCGGCAATAGCACTGATGCTGGGTAAGTGCTTTAAAAATATCTTCACTTCTGGTTTGGTTTTGTTCCCTTTTTTTTTTTCCTACGTTTCTATGTTTTCCTTCAGTTCTGTCCACTTCTCACCAGCATGAAGTAGAAATTTCAACTTCCTTGTGTCAATTGTAATGGTAGAGAGGATAAAGACGATACTGTGCATAGTAATACAATTTTCTGAACTGCAGGAAAGAGAAGTTTTTGTGTCATTTATTCAAGTCCAAAATCTTTAGGGGCCTTATTACAGTTCTTTTTTAATATGTTTAAACTTCGCAGTAAAAAATAGTGAAAACTAAGTAACAATTTGGCTGAGTGAAGAGTATTTTAAAGGAAATGAAAAGGAATTGAAACAGAAAAACTGGAGGGATTTAGACTGATGATGAATTCTTGGCTTTTGGCAAAGCAAGATAAACAAATCAACAAATGTTACTCCCCAAAATAACATGCTTTGGAGGTGGGAAGCTACTCAGTTTTGAGTTGTGATCTACATTTGTACAGGACATGTTTATGGACTACAAGTGTTTCATTTTCTTACAGTATAGACAGTGAAGAGATCCATAAAAATTCCTGTGGTATACTAACTTACTCTGCATAAAGCACTTTACTCATATCCCTACAACCTATAGATGTTAAGAGTTTCTCCTGCATCCAGTCCTCAGGGTTTGAGTGCATTGTCTGTGTAATTGTATTTGACAGGTTCTCATGATCTTGGTGGAAATGGAAAAGTTTAGATTGGACAGAGAGAGACTGTGTGGGCAGAGGAGATTACAAACTGTGCAAAGATTGTAGGCTGTTAGGAGTTGTAGGAAAATGAAGACAAAACCTTAGAGATGTGAGATGGATGAGCTTTTGATCTAAATATGTGAGAGTGTTTGAACCAGGAAGGTGGAAGGTCTTGGTCAAGTGAGGGGAGAAGGTGAGATGATCTACTTCTGTAGGGAGATGTTTTGAGTTGGTAGAACTAAATGTGGAAGACTGAAAAAAAATCAGTTAGGAAGAACTCAATGTGAAAAGAGGCATGTGTGCATGGGGAGACAGCAGGAAGATGAAAGGAAGACAAAATCTGAACTTGCTTATGGGCAGGAGGGTGAGAAAAGCTGTGGGGTCCTGGAGAGAGACACTTCACTTACTGCTGCCACTGTCTGTATCTGTATTTACATAAAACAAAGGAAAAGCTGAAGTATCAGTCTTCCCTCTGCATGTCTTGTGTGTCTGATCTGTTTTGCCAGTCTAATTTAGACTGTATACTCCTTGGGCAGAGGGCCATGCTTTCTCTTTCTTTGTTCCAAGGAAAGTACAATGTCAGCATTCATTAATTAAGTGCTTTGTTGATTGTAATACATTGCATTTATCCAGGCTCAGGCTGGACTCCAAGACTACTGGGATGCTTCCTGGGGATCCCAGAATTTGGCAATCTACCTATGCTGGTGGACTTCAGCCTTTGATGGCCAATAGGCAACAATATTGAGGAAGAAATGTTCTGCACAGCAACAGTATTTCCCACATCATGAAATATTATGTATTGTTCTCCCCTATGACCTGAACTGAGGTAGTAACTGCTGCTAAGGTCATAAGCCATGTCAAAAGGGCTGAAATCAGATTACAGATATTTTGTGAGGCTTAGTTTAGGGACTACTGCTTTGGAATTGTCCAAATATTGGAAAGTTAAATACCAATCCAATATCCATGGAGTATCTACATATTAGTAGCTTTTATGGATTTAAGGTTTGGGTTCTACCAATGCATATTACCAAAATAAAACTTATTTCCTTCACTAGAAAGTCAATAAATTGCAACATGTCAGCAAAAAGCCACGATTGGAGAAAGCCTCCAGTGGAGACACAATGCCCATGAGACAGACACAGTCTGAAACATCCAGGGGAGTACTTCCAGCTCTTGTGTATAGGAGGAGGAAAATGCCACCCCCGTGTTTAGGGTCCTAGTGCTTGTTTTGATAAATACATAAAAACCATCAATGTTTGTGCCATTAAGGGAAACCCACTTTCTCTTTGTGCATGAGTTCTTTCTTCTTCAGCCTCTTCCTCTTTCAATTAATTATTTAATACCACTGGGTAAAGTTTGGTTTTAAATACCTAAAAATGAGGAATAAATATTCCTACTTACACTGTTTTTTAGCTCAGAACTAGCAAGTATTGTCTCATCTGCTATACTTGGCAGAGTTCCTGCCAGTCATGCCACTGTTCAAAGACATGAAGATAATTAGGAAGATGATCCTGAGGCCTCAGGGGATTTACAAAGTCATGCATTCCTACCTGTTAGGACAGAGAGACCATCATTTATAGGCCAACATACCTAACGGAGTGGTATTTGTTTTATCTTTCAATGGCCAAAGCAAAGAGCTAGTGCATTCAATAGCAAAACACAAAATCTGAATCTGTAGGACCTTCTGGGACAGGTTGCACCACAGGATGAGGGGAGTTGAGAGTGAGTGGATGCATTAGATTGTGGTTCCCCCACCTATTAGTAATGAAGTTAATGACAAGTGAGGATGCTTAAGTTGGGAACCCGTCAAGGCATCAGGAAAGACAGTTGGTAAGGCCATGTCTGAGTGCTCACAGCATTTTTGGAGCATGCTTCTGCTCCCACTTTGGATCTTGAGTTTATCAGTCTCTGGGGTACACTGAGAATCCAGGGGAAATATAGGGAATGGTGGTGTCATGTGTGCACTCTGGAGCGTTTTGTTGCCAGAGGGAGGAATATCTGCGTTGTGGCCAGGATATTAAATCTCGAGGTAATTGACAAAGCCACTTCAGTGCATTTTTAAAAGCATGTTAATGACCCTCTGAGGTTTGGCTGGTTGTTGTTATTATAGAAGAGTAAAAAAAAAAAATCTACTATGGAAATTATTAGGTGATGAGACTCAGATGGTCTGATGTAAGAGTGTGTAGTGATGGAGACTGCAACCTGAGCTGGAGTAGCAGGCCAGCATCAGCAGGGAAATGATCGTCAGTGGATGCTGTATCACAGACAGTGCAATTATCTCCAAGGTGGGGGCTTTATTACATTACTAGGAGGGAATGTTTTCTGAACAAGCATCCAAACTGCCAATAAAGCAGGAGGTAATGGATCTAGCTAATATTGATTCTAGTTCAGAAGGGATTTGAATAGAAGTATGTCACTCAGCAGCAGCAAACATGTCTCCAGCACTTTGGCAGCTGGAAGAAAGAAGACATTTATTTATGGTTTAGGTATGCTCAAGCAACCTCAGGGAGCTATGTTAAAAATCACATTGTAGAGACATAGTAGGAATACTAGGGAGATGGCATCTTTCTTGTTTGCACAATGACTAATTTGTCAGTGGGGTTCACCATGTGGTCCCTCAGAAACTTTCTTCGTGAAGCCTGAAATTTGATTTTTCTTCATTTAAACAATAGAACTTTTGTGTTGTTTTTCATTTTGTTTATCCAACTGCATTCACCCACCCTGATGTACTGCAAGAATTTGCTTTGTATTTACAAGGAACAGAAAGTCCAATGGAAACATGAGGTAACGTTTAGAGTAGAAGGAAAATCAAATAACTGTGATCAAAGATGTTCTTTGGCTCAAAGTGAATGCTAGTGATGCGTGCTCAGTGTTTCACAACAAGGACATTCAGAGCACCATGTTAATGGAAAAATCCTCTGCTCTGAGATGTATGTCACAGATTGGTCAGACACTGCAAGCAGTGATAATCAGCAACGCTCTTTTAACAAGAAAAGGTAGTGTATATGCAAAATTATTCATGTTTGTAGTTGTGTTTCAGGGTTAGACTTAGTTCTTTTGGATGTGGCTGCACTGGGATTTGTCCAAGTTGGTTCTCTTCTCAAATTCAACTTCTATTTGATTTGGTTAAAAGCTCAGATAGATAGTCTGATTTTCAAAGGGTTTACAAATTCTGTAAATTTGCTTTTCAATTTAATTCCTAGTGTAGTAGCTTATCCAATTTGAACACCTTGCTTTAGCCCGGAGGAAGGTCCAGTAAATATCCAATGCAATGATAAAATTGTACTGGATCTTAGCTAGGAGCAGCAGCTGAAGGGTGCTCTAGCCCTCATGAAATCCAGTCTTAGCCTCAAGTGGACTATGTTTGTAAGGGCCGTAGAAGAGCAGGCAGCACCATACACTGCCTATAATCAGACATCACAGGCCTTTCGAAGGCATCTACCCTACTGTATGAAAGTTGCCCTTAAAGGCAAAATTACTACATCTCCACAAATGAGTATTTATGGTGATAATGCCAAAGGGAAGGACTGTAGTTGAATGCAATTGTTTAGAGTGTGCTCAGGGACCTACAGCAAAGAAAAACCCTGGCAATTCATGCCTGGTCCCATGCAATGGGACATGACCAACACTAGACAAGAAGCAAGGAAGCATCCCAGGGTACTAATGCTAGGAGGAGATGCAGTCCTGGTCCCATGCTCAGATCCAGTGAAGCATTCTCCTCAAGCACATCAGCAATGCCTCTACCAGGCATCGCCCTGCTGCAATCATCAGACCAAATCTCCCAGCGAGTGGGCTGTGGGAGCTGTTTTATGTCAGGATGCGCTAACCTTCTTCATGCTGTCCATGCAATTATGTCTTCTCCGTGACTATTAATTGTTCGTTTTGATGAAATGACCAATACTGTAAAGTCCCATGCTTCCTCCGAGGGTAAAGACAGTTCAACTCTAAAGCATTTCCACTTTTATCCTGTTGTAATTTCACAGGGACATTTTTCTGCTGTGCTTAGACTGCTGGTTTTTCTTCCCCTTCTGCCTGAAGCTTTGGAAGAGCAATAGAAACAGCAAGAAAATTTGTCCATTAGAAGAAAGAGAAACAGACAACATGCTCTCAATGTACAAAGTAAACAAGCAGAAAAAAAGAGAAACCATTTTTCTTTTCACTTTTTCACTTTCAACTACAACAGGGAGCTGGCATTTCAGAAAAGTGTGCATGTTTTAAGCCAATTGTGTCCCCTTTGGATCTCAAGGTCAGACTGCTTAATTTTTTCA